TGGAAGTGCGATGTATGGCGGGGGAAGAGACAAGGCGTGAGACCAGTGCCCCGACTTCAGCCCCCAGCCTGGCTGGGGCGGACCCCCCCCCAGATACGCCCCGATGTGCCCCTGCTCGGGGTGGTGGCTGCGACCGGGCAGGGAACCTCAGCGGCCAGGAAACCTCCGGCCCTGCCTGGCCCTGCCCGGCCCTCCCGGGAGCACTGGGAACACCGGGAGCCACCCGCGCCCCTCGCCCGGGCTCTGCCTGTGGAGCCATGTGCCGCCGGCACCCGCTCCCCCGCCAGGCAGGCAAGTTTCCGGGCGAGGTGGGAACAGACACGAATAGAGTTTATAAAAATACTTCAAAGCTGTCGCGGAGCGCTCGCACGGGAGCTAAAACGGGGAAAAGCTCCGAGGGCGGCGCGGGGGTGTGAAGTGAATGCGGGAGCGGTGGGCGGCCGGGGGCGGTGGGGCAGGAGGAGAGCGGGGCTGGAGGGGGCAGCCCGGGGGGCTGGAGCCGGTGTGGGGCTGCCAGGGCTGAAGGGGAGGGGGCGGGCAGGGATGCTGTGCCGGAAAGAGGAGGGTGCGGGTCCAGGAGAGCGAGGCGAGAGGGTGTTGCAGGGAAGGTGTCGGCAGGGCTGTCGGGGTGGGTGTCAGGCTCCTCGGGACGGAGGGGAGGTGACGGCCGAGGGCAGCGAGCAGGGAGGCGGGTGATGGACGGACGGGCGCTCACCTCTGTCCTCCAGCCCCTCGCTGAACTGCCCGCTCTCCCCGATCCGTAGCTGCTCCTGCTGCTGTTGCTCCCGAGGGGGCACCGGCGGGCTGGCGCCGGGAGGCTGCACGATGGCGGGGTCCGGGGTGGTGTCCAGGGGGGCAGCGGACGGCTCCATCTCTTGCGGGGAGGCGGGAAGCGGCCGGCGGCTGTGGCAGCGGAGCGAGGAGAGAGCGGAGCATCCAGTCCGGGTGCGAGCCCGGGGAGAGGAGGAGACTCCGGCTCAGAGCATCAGGGAAGACGAGGGCAGGCAGCAAACAAACTCCGGTTGCTCCGCTCCCCGCGGCCGCCTCATCACTGCCCGCGCCGGTGGCGGAGAGGGGCAGGGGGGGAGCGGTGCCGCCTCCCGGCGCTGCCCGTCCCCTCCCCGCCCCAGGGAGCTCCTTCGGCGGCGGGAGCGGCTTGGGAAGAGCGGGAGACTCGTCAGCCTCCCCTCTCCATGGCAGGTTCTGCCGCCTCCTCCTCCTCCTCCTCCCGGAGCCTTAGAGGGAAGAGCTGTCCAGGGACTGTCCAAACCCGGAGCCCTCCCGTCGCTCCCGCGGGCTGCGGATGCGGGCCCTGCGGAGCGAGGCTCCATCCGCCTCGCCCTCCCTCACACAGGTAAAAACGCGGCTCCCATTTGCCGGGGGTTCGCTCATTCTCCCTCTACCAGAGCCCTTTTTCGGGATAAGAGTAGAATCACCTCAAGCTGGCACCTCTCAGAACCCCCAGCTCTGGCGCGCTGTGACACTTACAGTTGGTTTTACCAATATCAGCCTAAAACTGTCCTAGAATATACTGAAGCACGGAATTACAGCTGGAGACTTGCTGGCGTTCAGGGCTGCTCTCAGTTCGCTCACCTGCCTTTCCTAGGGCTACAGAAGAACATAGGGACAAAATTAAAACCTTAGGTGCACAGAAATGTTTTCTAAAAATGTAAAATTTTGCAGCTAAATCTGTGCCAGAGCTGCTCGTTTCTTCTCTGCTGGTTTCTAATGACTAGATAGAGAGGTGCAAATAAACAAAGCCTTCTTTGTGCTCGCACAGTCTCCCAGTTCATGCTTACTGGCATGCAGATAAATTGTGAAACTGCATCGTGTTTTGACTTGACCCTAGGAAACATCAGAAGACAACTGGGCACTGAAGCCCTGGTCCTTGGGTGATATGTAGGGATATAATCCCTATTTAAATTATATTAAGATCAGGTTGCCCATCTCTTTTGAGGAATTAGCAAATTTGGGGAATATAGAAAGGCCAGCTGGAAATTAATATTTATGCGAGCATAAAAGGGACGTGATTTTATAAGTTGTCAGAATCTTGTTGATATCAGCCTTAAAAAAAGTTTTGTAGCAGTTTAGTAATACCTGTTTGGGAATAGTCAGTGCAACAGTACTACCAAAATGTCTTAGTTTTAAAAAATGCCTCTTAAAGCTGTATACTAACCTTCAAAACCTTTTCAGCTGTATTTTAAACCATTAATTATGTAAAAAAGTAAATGTAAGGAAATATTAAGGTGAGTCACATAGAATACTGGCTTAGAAACTAATAGGCATTCTGGCAACCTTGCGGAATCGAGATGGTTGTTGTGGTATAAGGGATTGGTGTTTCCTTTTTACTTAATCTTATGATTTCTTTGCATGTAGTCTACCAAACCTACTGTATGAAATGTTTTGGAGGTCTTCACGCCTCTTGCCTAAATTTCACCTTCACCTTTAGCTATCCTACCCTGCTTTGTGATCCCAGAGCTCTTGCTCTTCTAGTTGGATGAGCATTAATATGAATATAAGCAATGCCAAAAGTATTTTCTTTTCCCTCAGGAAATGGATAGTAGATTACAAATTACCTATTCAATGTTAATGTCAAAAGAGGTTTGTTCACACCTGCATAAGTTAACACAAGTGAGTTCTTTTGAGGGAAGTGTTGTTCAGGGCGTTGGGCCTAGTTGGGAGGGGTTGGAAATTAGTAATTCCATAAAAAAAGACCATGATTTTTTAATGGGCTTTTTATTAAGCTCTGGTGAGAGCTTAAACCTACAAAATACGAGAGCAGATGGATGACGCAAGTGCATGTGAGAGGTGAATGAAAAGTAGAAAATATTTACCTTTTGTTACTTACCATAAAAATAGATTGCCATATGTATCTGTGAAGTGAGAATCCTTAAATGAGTAGAACTAGTTTTTTAACCTGGTCAGAGACAAGGGACTGGAGACCAATCCCTTTTCAGGAACTGGCAGGATACAGAAACGTTTGGTGAGTCTGTTTGGGGAGACATCCTCCCATACACGTGCAGCCAGTACGAGCCATGAAGAGTCCCTTGAAATTGTTGCAACAGATATAATGCTCCCTAAAGCAATTATTGCAGGGTCCTTCCTCTTTTAGGGAGATAAATCCATATCTGATCTCCATATCTGACCCATTCCAGTAAGAACTTTCTTATTCCTTGCATAAATGAAAAATTGACTAGTGACTCTCATTGAATGCTGCTTCCTTTCTGTAAGTTTCTCTAAGCTATTTTGGTATTCTTATAACTTCCAGAAATCAACCCAAGAGGAAAGTGCCTGGAGATTCCTAATTCCATTTCTTTAAAGAGAGGTCAAAAGAGTAGGTTTCCAAATGATCAAGAGGAAAATAGAAACTATGAACACCAAAGCACAAGCTTTAAACTTTAATGTGTTTCTTTTTTTTTTTTTTTTTTTAGTTGTCCTCAATTGCTGCTCTTACATAAAACTGTGTCTGGCAGTGACTGCAGCTGTCTCTATTTGTATAAATGCTATAGTGTTCAGGCTATAGCAAAGAATATGAGGCCTGCAAAGAGTCTTAGAGTTTTTTTTAAATGAGTCTCTTCAGTGCTTTCAAACATAGCCCCATGTGAGAAGGAAGATAGACTGTATTGAGCAAATACAAATTCAAAACATTAAGCAGATCCACAATGAAGGGCCTTTCAGGTCAGACCATTATCTATATAAACGAGCTACTAAGAAGCAGAGAAACTGCCACACCATAGCAGCTGAAAGCTGGTTTCCAGCACTGCCTCTTACTCTCATGACACCTCTTTCACTCAAACTCTGTTCCACTGGACCAGGAGGTAGGGCTGGGTTTTTAAAGACCTGCATCCTGTTTTCCAGCCCTCTCAGACTTTTTGTGTAGGAAACCTGTAGGCAGTCAATGAAAATACCTCACTTTAATAGCTATATTACTAAATTATTTTATTTCTTGGCCCCTCAGACCTCCCTTTGTTGGATATGAATAATGAGAAGTCAAAATCAATTTTTAAAAGAAGAACTATATCTCTGGATTTGATCTAACTGGACTTACATCATCCTATGTTCTGTAGCTGATACAAAATTAATACACACTTGCAAAACTTTGCTCCCAGCTGGAACTGCCCGTAATTTCCATAATATTTTGACTTTCAGAAAAAGTTGATTCCAAATAGGATGGAAGTCTCATGCACCACAGCAATCAACAACAACAGAAAGAACTTCTTTTATTTTTCTTCATCTGGATTGTCTGTGGTCTAGTTTTGCTGTTGTTATTTGTGGTGGGTTTTTTCTTTCTTTCTTTCCTTTCTTCCTCCCGTCCTTCCTCCTTCCCTCTCTCCCTTCCTTCCTCCTTCCCTTCCTTCTTTCCTTCCTTCCTTCCTCTCTTTCTTTCTCTCTCCCTTTGTCTGTTCCTTTTCTTTCCTCCCTTCCTTTCCCTCCCCTCGCTTCCCTTTTCTCTACTGAAAAAATGAAAAATATCAATCACATTTGAATTTCTGGTTTTCCTTTTCTTCTTAGGGCTACTGACTGGAATGTTTTCACTTGAATTGGCAGAACACAGTGGTGCACTCAAAGGCTCCTGAGAAGGAATTTTGCTTGATTCCATTGACATTAACTAGCCAGTGTTCCATATTGACCATCACCTTAAGTGCAGCACTTACATTGAGAGCACTCTTGCACATTTGGAAGGGGCTGGTCAGCTGCCCTCGTGATTACTTTTTAGTATGTTTAAAGGCACAAGAGCAAGATAATGTCATTCATCTTGGTTACATTTCATACAGACACAACATAAAACTGCCTTCTTTTGGCAACAAAATACTATATTTGTCACAGGGCTTGTATTGCAGTATCAGGGAATATTAGTAACTCAGGATGGTTTCTTGGTTTGGTCTATCAGACGTTTCATGGCTGACATTAAAAAAAAAATGCTCACTTTCTTACTTCATCAATATGCCTTTCATGCACTTACAGCAGGAGGTAATGGCATTCCCATTCAGTTCCACAGGAGGCACCCCTCAAACAAACCCAGTACCGAACAGGCAGCCATCGGGCCCAGAAAGGTCATCCCTCAGATCATCTTCAGTGTTACTGCTCTACGACCAGAGTTTGAGACTGAGTTATCCTGATTTTCCTAGAGGCAACACCTTCCAGTAGGTGTTTATGGTGTTTAAACGCTCTGCTAGTTTGCAGTACAGCTGCCTCTTTGTTTCTGTCTCTGGATCAGATAATTCTTTGCCGTTTAGACACATGTCCTACTCTAATGAATAGATTAAATATGACTCTTTAGTGATGAAAACCTCTAGATTCTCTATTTCACAGCCTGTTTTCATGAACTTATTTGTTTCTTTTAATAGTCCCTCAACCATCCTGTGCAAGGTTGCCTGCCATAGTTTTCTTCTACAAACAAATACAAATTAGGCTACATGTTATGGGATGTTTTTTCCCTTTTTGTTTGTTTGTTTACTTGATGCCATATAGGCAGATACATATTTTTCTGTTGTTTGTAGCTTATGTGTAGCCCCACAGCATGTTCAGTGGTCAACAGGATGAAAATACGAGGTTCTTTTAACTTAGTCTAGATAATTCTCAGCCCAATATCAGTCACCTTATTTTTTTTAATTTAAAATAAAAAATAATGTTGATGTTAGTGCAACAAAACTACATTAATTTTTAAACTGCAGAGCATGCTTAAATTATTATCCAATGTATGTAGGTCGTTTAGTGGTTTTCTCTTGCACTGGGTTAAATAGAGTTTAAATTGAAATCATCTCTCTTCTTGGCATTTTTAGACTGAATATTAACTTGGGTCAAAAATAATCAGGATGTTATTTTGAAAGAAGAATATGATAATTCAGTATCTTTTCCTTCAGGCTATGAAGAAGTGCCTATAATATGATTCTCAGAGAATAGAGCATGAGGTGACCTTGGTAAGTAATTGATAACACCTCAAATAAGTACCTACTTTTCCTGTGTACAATGTTGTTGCAGGATCATATTTACAAAAAATGCCACAGCTAGCAAGAACCACAAGCATGGATACATTCCATTGTGGTAACAAAGGAGGAATAAAAACATAGAATGCAAAATATGTCATATTAAATTGAGCAGAAGATCTTGAAAAAGGTTCTTCACAGTGAGCATTTTCAAACTATTTTAAAAACTGTTCTTAATTCAAGACAAATTTGCTATGTAAATATGGGAAACCACAAAAACTAAGCTTATTATTTTGTTCAGAGAAAAATTATGCAGTCATTCAAGACTACGTCTCTATTCCAAACAATGTTATTTCTTTATATCACTGAAGACATTTCGTTTCCAGATTTTATATGACTGAGTAAAACTGACTTATTCGACAGTGGGTTTATTTCATTGTTAATATTCACAAGCATTGAAGAAGAATGGAAGGGAACATTAATTTTAAAGAGGCAGCTACCTGTTACTTAAGTAATAATCTTCCTCTTTTTTACTTTTTATTCCTGCTTCCCATGTTATGTGGAGAGATCTTTCTTCTCCAAGTGTGACTCTAATGGATGACATGAATTTAAGCAGCTGAGATTTCATTTGTGCATCAAAGAAAAGAAAAAAAGCTAGGAAATTTCTAGGAAGCAAAAGTCAATATAATTCTGTAATAAACTTATCCAATTACTTATAATTACTTGTTAATTCCTATCCAAAAGCATCTTAACAACTAAATACTTCCAATGTATGTGCATAACTTCATGTTTTCTCACATCAATTTTCAAAACACAATTTTCCATTAGGTTTATATGATTAAACACTAATTAAAGTGAACTACAGAAATCAAAAACCATTCTTTTTATCCCATACAGGTTGGGTCACTCTTTCCCTTGCCAAGCCAATGCCCATTTCTCCTCATGCACCTGTCTGCTGAGAACTTGTCCTATCGTGTCAGACCTAGGGTTTGTTAAAAAGGCTGCTTGAAAATGTAGATGTACATTTGTTTCCTAGTCAGGTTTGACTCCTGCATTCATGAAATATTTATAGTTTATAAATTTAACCTTATGCATTAAAAAAAAAAAATCAAGAGTCATAATCAGTACCTTGAAGGTAATGTAGGGATTTAGTGAGAAAAGAGACTAGCTGCATTTACCCATGGGATTTGTCTATGTCAGAAAAGAGATGCAACAGGTTAGGTTTTAGAGGGAGTAAGACTCAACTCACATCTATTTTTTTCTTCCCATATTTTAAACTCTAATTTCTGATTAGGGTTATTGTCTTGTTCCTTGGCACTTAGTGTCATCTGCAAAAGAATATTTTTTTTATCTTGTTGCCTTTTTATCTTTATGAAAAGGTACTGAGTATTTGAGGAAATCACCTTTCTACTGATCTATAGCAATAATATTTATATTGCTTCTGCTCTGATGTTAAGTAAGTACTCCCCAGCTCACTTTTTCTGGAAGTTGTCTGATAAACTCTGTGATATAATAACATTTATGTGTTGTTTTGAAAAGCTAATCCACATTGTTTTGTGAATTGGAAAAGAGAGTTCTACCCTTTTCTTATGTCAAATGAATTGTAGCTGAGTGTTTAGCTCTGATGATCACAGGAAGTGTTTGGAAAAAGACTGATAGCCACTGCCAAAATGAATATTTTGTAAAGCATGTTCTTCATAACCAGGAAACTATACACATTTCAAAGTGTGCCAGTTTGGGGAGCTTTTTTACATCTTCTCAAGCAGATGTTTGACACTTTAAATCAAACTCTTCTAAGTTCTTATGGCCATCAAATTTCTAGTACCCAGTGGAATCTGTTACCCACCTAATGTTCTTTGTCTGATTGATTTTGTTGGGTTTTTTTGCTGGAGGAAATAGAATTAGTTTCCTGAGTCGTGGCAATTCAAATACAAATACAAATTCAAATACAATCTGTGTTCGAATTCTTCATTTCAATGGGAGATGCTGTGAGTAAAATAATTAAATTCTTCCGATAATAATTTTTTGGAAGAGGCAAAAATAATGTCAACAACATATAGAAGAGTTCTAATGGATTTCTGCATTCTTTATTCTCGTAATTGTTTCTCATCCTCTTAGACAGGGAATCACATAATTCATGTCATTCTTCTTGTAAGAAATGGGAACCATTTTTTTGTGGAATTCAAAGCCAAAAGTTTCTCCTGTATTGCAGCCAGGCCTTTCTCTGTGTGTACAGCAGTAGCAAAAGCAACAGATCTCTATAAATATTGACATTTGTCTATCCGTAGTGAATGCTGTCTGATCTGGATTTATAGAAAAATGGATAGGATGGTTGGTTAATAACCCCATTAAAACATTTACATTACATTAGCAGTGATAGAGTTGAGCATGGCTATTAGCTTTTGCTAATTTTACAAGGAAAATGAGCATAAGAAATTGGGAAAAAATATTCTTTGTAGAATGAAGAGTATTAAGCCCACTTCAAACTTCAATTGTTTTTAAATTTGAATTTTACTGGTTGCTTAAAAAGACATCCATAGGTGAAATTCGAAATGTCAGTAAAATTTTGAACCTCTGCTGCAGTAAAATTGTCCTGTAACCAAAAAGGAAGATGGAGATGTCAGTCATATAATTTAATTGGACTGTGATAAAATTCAATTTCTGCTTCTTTCAAATTCTGTCTCAAGCTTTCAATGATGCCTAGAAGTCATCGGGGGCAGGCAGTCATGTAGTAATGCAGACAGCTCCTTCTCCATCATCAAGACTACACATATTTTCAGTATTAGGGTGCAGGGATGCTTCAATAGTCCCAGAAACTTCACTTAATTTTCACATCCTTCTATTAGAAAATCTGTATTTTAAGATTTTTTATTTTATTGGTAAGGTTTATATACTTGGATTAATTTTTGCTTTGTCCACTGACTATCACAGCTGTCACTGGACTGTACAAGTTGGGTATATTTATACTTATAAATTTAGTCAAACTGAGACAATATCTATAAATAGAAGTAATATGTTTTATTAAGCCAACAGGTTTAATTAATTTCCAATTAATATGCTCAGAAAGTGTAGCTAGGTACACAGTCTTCATGACTTCAGGAAGGGTTTGAATGTCCAAAAGGGCCTGTTTTCTTCCCTTCCTTCTTTAATTAAAAACCTATCCACAGACTTTGTGTTATCTTTGTACCAAAATGTCTTCATTTCATATGTCTGGGGTTTGCCACATTTAGGATCTTGGTATATAATTTGTTAGCAGGAGATGCATCACAAAATGACTTTTCAGGCTGAGTCAACAAGAGCCATATTGGGATCAGACAGATTTTTTTTTGGTTTGGGATTTTTTTCTTTTTTGGGGTGGGGGGGTGTTTGTGTGTCACAAGGAAAATAATTTTGTTCCTATAACATTTGAAATTCAAATAATGAGGAAAAAAAGTAAGAGCACTCCACTTTGGTTTTTATTTTAGATGCCAGAATCCCCTCAGTTTCACTGTAGTAGGTTCTGTGATCCTTTGAGACTCAGCTCTTGGAGCAGCCAAACACACTTCTTCCATCAGGCAATACTTGGAAGAGCTTGTTAGTGCTTGGGTGCAGTTGTTATTTAGTTATAAAATAGACCTGGCTTTTTGCTTCTTGTTTCTTAACTTACACTTCCCCAACTTTGCTCTGGATAGCACTATCTTGGCTCATTTTTTTTGAGAAAGTGATAATTCAGGTTTAAGAGCAGGTTAATTCAGCAATAAAGGGCAAGTGCTGTGTTTTTATGAAGGTAAAATCCTGATGACTTACCCCTCTTGGATTGTTCCTTCCTTATTCATTTTAGAAGGACAGTTAATGGAGTATGTTACTTATCTGATGCCAATAGTCTCTCTAGGCCCCTTATTCTACTCCAATCTTTTTATGACAAGCCTATTTCCTTTATCTTATATAACTTTAATTTTTGGTCACTTTTTTCCTATTTTATCTACAGATATAGGAAAGTGACCTCATAGTTTTGAAGACTAAGATCATTAATTCTGAAACTCTCAGTAATTACAGGTTGTTTTTGCTGATGTATCACTAAAGTTCTTAGAATTGACTCCTTTATCAGTTTGTGTAATTCTATTGACCAAAAAATTCAATCTCTAAATGAAATTTAATTAGGAAAGAAAATCAAGAGCATGCCAATTGAGTTATAGTTCTGCTCAAAACTTAATTCAGTATTGAAACTGTTAAGTGGTTGCAACACTACCTAGATTCATATTGCATGGGTTGTCCAAACAGACTTGTTGCATCTAGACTTGTTGATTTTCCCACTAGATGGCATTATGCATTAACTGCAAGTTAATTGCACATGCTAAAGATCCAAAAAATAAGAAATTATCTATTGTGCTCTTAGACTATGCAAGAGTGAAAGAACTGTGGCTTAAAAATCATTTGGCTTACTTCTACCTAACAGCATCCCAACCCATCCTTAATGCCTCAAATATGGATTTACTCAGAGCAATAAAGGAAGTCAACCATGGCAACAAATACCTGATCATGTGTGCAATGTGCTTTTTAGAATAAAAACTGGACCAACCTTTTCTGCATTTAGCATTTTAAGAGTGACTTAAATGCTGCAAATTGCTTCCTTTATGGCTGCATGGCTTCAGCTGAAGTGATAGGAAGTGTCCAAGGTAAAGCTGCAGTGTTGAAGGTTGCTTTTAAATAAAGAGCCCCACGTGAACATATTTTTATTTAGTAGCTAATTCAGTATAGATTATCAGAATATTTTATCTAATATAATAACATCTAACTGTAAGAGGAATGTAGAATATGAGAAGGATTAACCAGTTCAGTTAGCCTGGGCCCATAATGGAAAAGCACCCCAGGCCAAGGAATAACAAATATTAGCTTAGTGTTAAATGGCTCTTAAATCCTTATGGTGTTAGAACACATAATACAAAAGTTAAACTTGTCCTTAAGGTTGTTTCTGAATTGGGTTTTTGTGAGGAGTACAAACCAATGCCACTTGC